GTCCTCCCCCTCTTCCTCGTTCTTGGCTCACCGTGTGCAGAGCCCACAGGCTGCCCCCCGGCCTGGCCCGGCCCTGCCCTGGCCGCGGCATGTCCTCCGACAGCATGAGCTGGCCGGTCACCTGGAGGAGCTGCGCTCCTTGCTCACGCAGTCGTCCTGGGAGGTGGTGTCCCCGTTGCCCATCATGCTGCAGGTCCTCCGCTTCTTCCTGCGGTGCATCGTCCCGTCTCCTTCAGACCCCGACTCACACTGGACACGGAGGAGAGAAAACGAATTCAACCGGACGGAACCTCTGGCCTCAGGAGACAGCACTCGGATGGTCCACGTCCCCCAGAAGCAAAGCAGCCATGCGACTGCTCCACAGTGCAGTCCGAGCACCATCAGACGTTTCGGTGCCCCGAGAACCCCCATCTCCCGCAGGAGGCAGCATCCCCCGTGTTCTCTAACAGGAGGAGGCACCACCCTGAGAACTGTCAGTCATCATCTGGAGGTTGCATCATGGAATTTCATGCGACCAACACAGCCTGATGCATGAAGGTAAGCACCGCACTTGCCATTCATAAAACACACCACCTCCCGCCACGAGAAAGGGTGAAAGCAGCACAGCATGCAGCCACCAGACAGAAGTCGCATCTGCTAAGGGTGCAGGACCCTCTCACCCAATGCTACGTTAGCTTTTAGCAAGTCACTGAATTTGCTGGGTTCCTAGGCTCACAGTGCACCACCCAGAGGGAAAATCTGAGCTTGGACCTTGAGGTCGGAATGCTTGGGGCCTGAATTTCCGGCCCGCTGTCTGCCAGCGTGAGGTCCCGGCCTTTCCTCACTGGACTGGCAAGCTCTCCTCTAACCTGAGGCTGGTGCACACAGAGCTGTGAGCTGGGCAAAGCCCCTCCGTGGCAGGACGAAGCAGTGGTGGTTCCCGAAAGCGAAAAGCTCCCCATCTTTCTCCCTCCTGCCTGGGCAGAGGGAGTCACGGCTGGTTTCTACGGGACCTGCCCTGGAGGCCTGGCGGCGAGCGGGGCTCACCTCCGAGTCCGAGTCTGACGAGCTGGAGCTGGAGGAGCTGGAGGAATCGCTGGAGCTGTCAGAGGCGATCCCTGTGGATTCCTGAAGGTCAACCGAGTCAGCCAGGACCGCCAGCTCGGGGTGCTCCTGCTTCAGGATCCTGAGAGACAGGAAGTGCGTTCTCAGTGGCGGGACAGGCACGGACAGCCACAGGCCAGCTCCCAGGCTGCGGCCCAGACCTGGCTGAGGCGCCGGCGAACGGCAGGTGCCTGTTGGGAGCGAGGGCTGTCGGGTGGCGGGGACACAGTCCACAGGCTGGGAGCCGGAGCCCACACACTCAGGCTTTTCCAGAAGGAACCTGAGCTCCACGTGCTCCCGCCACCGGCGCCACGGGCCGGCCGCACTGCCACCTTGCGGCCACGTTCCTGACTTAGTTTTTTTTCCTTGGGAGTAAGTCTCTCCCTCATTTTCCCTGCGCTTTTCCTGGCTGATTGTTTGAACCTCCCTTTCCACAGCACAGCACAGCACAGCACTATGATCGGAGTCACACTGACAATGAAATTCTATTGGTGAGAGTAGAAACAAAACCATCAAGTCTGTGAGAAGCATCGAGGATAAAACAGAACTGGGCCATCGGAGGCAGCAGCCCCCCCTCGGGACCTAACCTGGCACCTACATCTACCGTGACAGGGACAAGCCCTGCGGAGGAAGGCCTACGGAGCGGCCCAGGGAGCACGCGGCAGCCTGCGGAGGGCGACGGGCCTCAGGTGCCCGGAGTCGGGGAGAACGGAGCCACCACCCTTGCTGGCCCTCTCGGCAGGGGGCTGAGCCCTGAACAAGCCAGAATCCCTCTTACCCCGAGAGCTGGTCCCTCCAGGTCAGGGTTGGGACACAGTGGCACGGGGTGGCTGGGGGTGGCTTGCACTGCCGCTGCCCGTGCTGTATCTGTTCTGTGGATAAACAGAGGAGCTAAGTCTCCAGGGCAGTGACCTCACTCCTAAGACTGAAGGGAATAAGTTCAAACGGGAATAATGCTTCTGGGTCAGAAAAAGAAACAAGCAAAATAAAAAACCCCCCAAAAATGGCTTCCTTTGCTAGTGCAAGCTCTGGGGGGAAACAAAAAAACAACAAAAGGGGAAACGACCCGACCACGCGAGTGTTTGACGCTCTGATCGACAGTGCGGGGCTACCTGCTACCTGGAGGCTGGAGCATCCTGAGAGTTAGCCCTGACCTTGACCCTCTCCCTGCACCTGCGCACTCATCAGCCCCAGCTTCTGCCAGGCCTGCCTAAGTTCAGCCCCTGGCATCGCAACGGCGGGCTATCTCCATTTCTCTCCGGTAGAAATTGAATAAATCACAAATAAGAAAAAAATGGCTCTCACCTATACCATTTCCTGGACAACTTTGGTCTCCCTCTTACCGTCTTGTGCCATACAACAGGGAAGTTGGTGCTGCTGGCAAAATTCTGGGTGATGGCAATGGTGGTGTCAAGATTGAGGACAACGTGCCACCAGCCTCCTGAAAGCCAACAAGTAAACGGTTACGTAGAGCCGGGTTCTGTGCCCAATCGCTCTAGAACATCAACAGTATACAACATTGAACGTGAACTGCAGAAGCGGGTTGCTCCCACCAGTGGGGCCTCCGAGACGGTGCAGGGCGGACCTGCTCCTCCCTGCGGTAAGTTTTACTGGGCCGTGGCTGTGCCCGCTCACTCTGGATCGCTGATGGCGGCTTCCCTGCTACGAGGGCAGAGCTGAGCAACTGCGACACAGGCCGTCCGGCCAGTGCTGACGTGCTCTCTCTGGGCCTTTATAGAGAAAGCGTGTCCTCTCCTGCTCACTCACAGCTGCGACGCACTGTGAAGGCAGCACGCTCTCCGGCCTCAGGGGGAGGACGTCCACCTGAAATGCCTTTGTTCCCAACTCTTAACCTGTCAGAAGCATCAGGTCTGGAACGGCTTCCTGCCTCGAGGCTCTAAACCACTACTTCCTGGCTCAGCCCACCCAGTGCGACACCGTATCAAGCCCCAAGTTACAGAAATATGCACAAGTCACAGAACGTACACAAGACACTGGGAAAACTAAGGATAAAAACGAGTAGGATCTGAAACACAGAAAGGTGACCAAGTCATGTATCCAGGTGACAGTGGCCAGCAGGCCCCCAGCACCCGACAACACAGCAGCACTTCGCTGTCCGAGGTGGGCAGGCAGCTCTGTGGTCGGCTGGAGGGGTTTCCTGGACTCTCTCTCTGTGCAGTTCTGCTCCAAAAGGACAGATCACTGAGCTCAGAGAGCACTTGCTCCGGTGCATCTGTACCTGGCACAAAGACAGTCTCTCCCGGCTTTTGCAAGATTTCCAGGGGCTTGAATTCGGGTGGCCAGGTTGGCAGCTGTGTCCGGGGGTAGATGATCTTAAACCAGGTGATAGCTTCATCCTGCTGGTTCCCTCCTTCGTCGCGGGTCACCTTGATGAGCTCCCGGGGCGTGCTGGTGGGGAACAGGCACCAGCGCTTGTGGCCCTGCACCAAGGCATTCCAGGCGCTGGTTCCCAGAGGGTCGATGTGAATTCCGGTTCCAGAGCGTGGGGGCCCCATCACAAACCACCTACAGGACAGAAGCATCCAAGAAATGAAGAGCAATTTAACCAACACCCCCCGCCCCCCCCACACATCCCACAAAACAACAAGCTTGCAGTCACACACTACACTGTGTCATCTTTGTTGCAAAGACTACACAAATTTTGGAACCTAGAAATGCTGAGTGAATTGTGGGTGGACTGATCGCTAACAGAAAAAAGGAAAACCACTAACGTGGCTTAGGTTTAGCGCTGGACTGACTTCCCTTACAGCTCAGCGATTTGCCTTCGCTCGCCCGTTTGAGTCACCTGGGGAGCTTCCAGAAATCCCGAGGCCCAGGCGGCACCCAGACCAAGTCAACCAGAGCCTCTGGACCCGGCCGGGGTCAGTAGCCCCCAAAGCCAATCCCAGGTGCAGCCAAGGGGAAACCACTCCCTGCTTTGTAAAGGGGGGGGGGCAGTACCTGTAAGGGGGCCTGCGCTTCTCCCCTGCATACTGGAAAAGGTCATCGGTGAAGAACTTGGGCACCTTGTAGTCTTCCAGAAGTTTCCTTCTTTTGGGATGTTCGCCGTAGCTGCTGTCGAAGATGTACAGGGGGCTGTCGTCCCGCGTGCTCTCCATATACTCGATGTAGTACTTCATCTTCATCTTCACCGAGTAGCCGTCGTTGTCCTCCCCGCACTTGAACTTCTGGTTGCGGTACTTCCTCTTCAGGCGCTCGAGGGTCCATTTCTCCTGCGCGGACCAGCCCTCCTGGGCGTTCAGCAGAACCACGGGCTTGTAAGGCCTCTCGTATCGCTCCACAAAGTCTTCCACCGAGAGCTGTAGGGCGTCCGCCCTCTCCACGTTATCCTGAGGGAAGCAGAGAGGACCTACCCAGTTTTAAAAAGTCAGGCAACTAAAGGGGCCCCCAGGGCCAACCAGCAGTGACATTCCTAAGGAGCCAGGTTTTTGTTCTGGCTTCTACGGGGGTGGGGGTGGGGGAAGGACCTGCGCGCGTGCCGCTACGACGCACCCACAGCCACGGCACCAAGGGCGGCTTCGCATCTCCCACTTGGGGCCTGGGACAGCCGGGTC